TTTACAATTTAGAAGCAAACAGAATTCAGTTTCTTGATATTCCAGCAAAGGAAACTCATTTGGTGTTTCCCTTTGTTCAGATGCTGAAATGTCCTTTTAGTCCTCAGCGCATATACCAGCCAACTGCAAAAACCAGTTCAATATGACCTCTCCCTTGACATTTCATATTGATTTTCCTCTATCCTTCAGAAGCATCGGCCTTCAGTCAATTGCAGCTCAGGAGATGTGAGAGTCGGAATTGAGACAGTTCATCAAAGTTCAAAATGAAAAAAGCAACATTGGCTTTTGGAGATGAATTCTCTAAAGGAGATATTTAATAACTGCCAGTGTATAATCAAAATGCAGATGATATCTGTGTATATCCAGTCATGTCTATTAACCTTTTTATAAGTATTTGGGTGCAACATACAGCCCAGGGTCAGCTTTAACATACATGTTTCTGTTTTTACAACGCACTTGCTCTTTGTAGTCCAGGCTCTGTTAAGCCACTACCGCTTTCCATGCAAGGTAGTTTGTAGTTGCCTTTGTGAGTGAACTAGAGATTATTGCTTTATATAAAGTCTACTATCTGGATAGTTCAAAATTAATTAAGGCTCACAATAGCACAGTGAGATAAGTAAGTATATGGATAAATTAATGTGTACAGAGGTCAAGTAACTTGCCTAAGGTTATGCAGGAAGTTAGTAGAAATGGAATCTAAGATCCTTGTTTTCCTGATTTAGTCTCTAAATAACATTTTCTTTCAAGAGAAGAAGTATAACTTGTGCTTCTGGTTACATTTTCTTCCCAGCTGAAAGAAAGCATCTGTCGTACATTAATCAATAATTGATCTTAATATTACACAGACTTGCACCAGGAAGATCTGGGTAACGTTAATCTTCTGATTGAGTTTTATAAAAATGCAGGTTAATAAAGATCTGAGTAAAAACCTTCACCAAGAATCAATGATCATTCACTACATTTCTCATGGGCTCAAAACTAAAACCAGACCTCCAATCTACCAAGATTCAGAATTGGGAGTTGGAAATGATCATTGCAGCTGACTCCATATCTGTCTATTAAAGTCCCAGTTTCAAATTCTGCTGATGCTGAACCTTGGGGCAGTTTGGAAGTGTATCTCTTTCCTGTTCTGGACTCTGCATGTCAATCCATGTAATGCCATAAGTAGAACCCTGCATGAATACAAAATTGTTATCGACATCCGCATCTGCCAAAATTATCCATGGATATCCGCAAATTTGCAGGGTTCTAGATACAAAATTGGTATTCACATCTATATCTGCAAAAATGAGCCACAGATACTCGCATCCACAACCACAGATACAGATCCCCACAGATATAAAGCAGATACCCACAGCTTTGAAAGGCTGTAGCCATAAGGTTCTATAAGTTGGACTTAAATTTGCAATAGATCCTACTACCGCTGAGATTTTTCCTTTGTCCATACAGAACTGATGGAGGAAATGCCAGTGAGGATTCATTTGTGTTAAAAGCAGAGAAACACTCAGCCTTTAAAGTAGATTTTTCCTCTGTTTTTTGGGATGAAATGTGGATGAAGAGGGAATATCACTTATTGAAAGGGAAAATAGATTTAATTAGCTGAAGAGCTCTCAAGAAATCTGCTCTGTGAGCTGAGCAGCCAGTGTCTGCTTCTGCAGCACATAGAGACCCCTCTTCCCCCCGCCCCTTGCAAGCTTCCATCTAAGAAGCAAAAATAACTGCACCCATCTCCAACCAACTCCATCACTCATTTACCTTTTCATTAACTACACCTGTGTTCACTCTTAGGGTATGTCTAGACTATGCAGTTTTTCTGGGATACCAGAGGTATCCCGGAAAAACTGTTCTACGTCCAGGGAACGCGTTTGCTCTTCGGCTTTTTTTTGCGAAAGAGCAAACACGCTCTTTCGGAAGCCTCTGTATTCCTCGTTCCATGAGGAATAAGATGGCTTTTGAAAGGTTTTTTTTTCTGACATTTGGCCCAGTCTAGATGGGCCAAATGTCAGAAAAGCCTCTTCCAACAAAAGAATCAGAAAAAGCTACACACAATGCGAAGCACATTTTGCGTAGTTTTTTCCGAAAAAAAGATGTTGTCTAGCCGTACCCTGAGTCACAGCCTCCTGGAGTCAGGCAACTGCGTTTTCAGGAAAACTCTAAGGCTTATTAATTTCTGAGCTGATCCCCCTCCATCAGAAATTGATGCCACTCTGTGAGTCCACCTTTCATACAGAGCTGTACCCTGGCTGAGCAGGTGCATGGCTGTGGCAAGGATCCCAAATAGCAACCGGAAGGGGTTTCATTCTTTCAGTCACCTTTGGAGGTAACTGAAGTGCTGTTAACTGCTGCTTAAAGTAACAAACAAACAAAAAAACTAGCTCCTCACCATTCCATGAACTTGTTCTTCTGTCCTCTTTCCACAGGTAATGTGGAATCAATAGCACATTCCATTTCTTCTCAATGTGAATGTAAATCTCACTGAAGAAATCCACCTTGCTTGTAGTGGGAACAGTTACTGCATATAGTGGACTGGGACTGTTTCACCCTGAGCAGCACATCACTGTGGGTGGGAGGCAAAATGATGTGCAATTTGTGATGCATTATACCTAACATATATTTGTACAGAGGGTCAGGTATGGGATAGGTCAAGGGTCACATCTCTGTGCAAATATGGAAGGGGATTAGGGCGCGCACTGTCCATTTCTTACTCCTGCATGAAGGTCAGGCAACTTCATAACCCTCGTAGAGCTTCTAAGGATGCAGAGTACTCCACAAAGAGTAGAGAGAGGGGAGGTCATAACCCTCCGGCCCCTGCACAGTGGCAAACAGCTGGCTGGGCACCCAGTGTGGAGGGGCTGCACCATACTAAAGGAGGAGTGCACCTGTATGCATACAGTGAGAGCTTCTCCCCAGAGCTCACCCCGGAGTGAAGTGGCCCAGCTGTGGCTAAAACTGTGCACCTTTCTGTGACCCTACTTTGCAAATGACTTTGATTCACTTGGTCCTGGTGAGCTACATATTGCAGTTGTTATAAGCACTGGTGCCTTTCCCCCTCCAGGTGTGTTACCAAAATTCTCTCTCTCTCTCACTCACACACACACACACACACAAATATGAGGTCAGTACTGCATACTGGTAAGAACTGACCCATACCTGGCTGACATTAAAGCGCTACTGTGACCGTGCTTTAATGTTGCTGCCCCCTTTGCTCCCTGTCTCCTGTCCCATCAGCAGCCCTGCCAGTTGGGTCCAGCAGGGTAGCCAATGGTAGAGCAAAAGGAGCAGCTGCCCTGGGTCCTGTTGATTTAAAAGCAGCAGCAGCCCTGAAGGGGAAGGACTGACTGAAGGGGTCTGGTCCCAATCTTGCCCTTTCCGGGGTCCCAGAGCTACACACACCCCACCTTATCAAGGACCCTGTTGTATTATAAGTCCTGGCAATTACTTTCACCCTTGAAGTAAGAGTTGTTATCCCTTTCTTGCAGAGCAGGAAAGTGAGGTAGTAAGGTGTCTTGTCCATGTCCAGCAGGGGAACAACGGTCAAAGTTCAGTTCTTGCTTTCTAATT